ACTTCTAGCTACTCAGAAGGCTGAGATCTGATTATTATAGCTTAAAGCCAGATCAGTCAGGAAAGTCTATGAGATTCTTACCTCTAATTAACCATCAAAAGGCTACAAGTGGATCTATAGCTCAAAAAAGCTAAGCTCAGGGCTGGGAAGGTGGCTCAGTGGTAGAGCACTTGCCTTGCATGCATGAGGTCCTAGGTTCAATTCCTCAGTACCACATAAGCAAAAAGAAAAAAAGCCGGAAGTGGCGCTGTGGCTCAAGTGGTAGAGCGCTAGCCTTGAGCTGAAGAGCTGAGGGACAGCACCCAGGCCCAGAGTTCAGGCCACATGACCGCACCAAAAAAAAAAAGCTAAGCTCAGAGACAGTGTCCAGGTCCTATGTTCAAACCCCAAGACTAGCATTAAAAAAAAAATCTGTGGACCAGTAAAATTTGTATTATTTGCAAATGGGAACATAAAGCATCTTTAAAATTTTTTTTTTCCTCCGTTGCCATTGAGACAGTTTACTGGAGCACACTGCATTCCAGCTGCCATGCCTGCTTTAGTTTGTGTCTATGTCAGGTGAACGCAGGACATGGGAGCTAGAAGTTCCCTTCCACCAAGGCCAGAGCAAGATGAGGGTTGGAGAATCTGATTTATCTGCAGAGTTTCCCATTTTAGTCTATTTAAGAGTTATTTATGCTGAAAGACACAAAGCATATAACCCAAATCTTTTCCTATTTTTAGTTCTGGCTGAAGATGAAAGAATAAAAAGTAATGATCACTTTTTCTATCACCTCTTTTCTCAGTTTTCTATGACCCTGCTTTATTCATATATCCTGGCATTAGGGAAAGCAATGGGGAAACAAAGATAAATGGGATTTGATCGTGATCCCCTACAAGTTAATACTATCTCTAGAGAAAGAGAGCTGTGTGAATGAACTATGACAGTTCAATAAGTTGAGGTCCCTGCTTGAGACAGCTTGAGGGTGGAGCTGGAAAACTCAATAAAGTATGAGTCAATTTTACTGTTACCTCGAAGATAAGGGACTTATATTTTTTTCATCTTATTCCTTCAGGTGCTACGTAGATGAAGAGTATTTAGCATCACAGTCATCATTCTCCTGTCTTAAACCTTTATTGTCTCTGCTAGTAGAATGGGACTAGAAAGCATTCATAGCAGATGTAAATTGTGAAAGGGACATAATTAAGATGATAATATTTTAATGCAAGGTAATATAATTCATGCAAAAGGATCAATAATGAACAATTAACACATTTCTGACAGATATTTCAGGTATGGATTCTGTGTGATAGTGCAGTGGTCAAATGTTTCCATGGTTTCTTTGAGTGGCATAGTCTAGTTTCAGTGATTTGCAAAGAACATAAAGTGCATAAATGAAGTGTCTATTTTACTTTCACTCTGAATGTCAACCAAGATATCTGCCCTAAAATCCAGTAGCTTTTTAGTATATAACTATTATTACATAGGAACAATGAGAGGAATTTAATAGCCAGGGCTCTCATAAGCTACCCTAGAGCAGGAATCCAGATGGCTGTTTAGATTTAAGGAATCTCTAGACCTTTTGGCAACAAAACTTGGTAGAGCTTTGCCAAACGTGGTAAAGCTTCAATGAATACATCTGCAGTGACCATCTATGTGACCTGCTTTAATTTATGCAACCAGGTGCTTATTGTTTTTTGTGTCCTTTCATTCACATTATTCAAATAGCTTAGAAGAATCCAATTGGCTTAGTTTGAGTTTTGTGGGGTTTTTGTTTGTTGGCTTGTTTGGGCTGTTTGTTTTCTTTGGATCACAGCTGCAGGGTAAAGGGTTTCATCTTGGTCACTGCTCTGGCTCTGGTGGGGATTGAGTTGGGTTGGAGTCAAGTGGGACAAAAGGAAAGAGGTAGTTACAGGCAAGGTAGAATTTCAGAATAGGATATAGATGAAGTACCCCTCTCCAAAGCACCAGAATTGTGAATTCGCTTATTACAAATGCAAAGGAAGCAGAACAAATAGCAAGTGCTAATGGAGTTCAAAGAAAAAGATCACCAAGGGCCAGGGTTGTGTTAATTATATGCTACTAGAGCCTGCAATTATAAGACCATAGATATGCAAATATATGCTGATGGCTCAGCTGATAGACCACTAAAAAGGCATTTATCTATGGCCCCTGAGTAGTGTGGCAAGATAAATGATTTGCTTATAAACTCACTTAAAGATTTCAACTGCCCACACCTCCTTTCAGGACATACCCACAGAATAAAGATCACCAGTAGGTACCTTGCTTAGATTTTCATATTCATGACCTCTGACTCTAGGTGCTTATAATCAGATAGGTCATTCTATTGTGACTGGCCCTTCCTACTGAGGAGTTATTTTCCAATCACTTTTTAAAAATTTCTTTACTGACCAAATGGGAAATGATAGAGGCATCTGTTCCTGCTGTCCAGCTCCCAGCTACAATGATTGGCATTTTTTAATCTGTCTGCAGAGGTCACAGAGAACGTGACTTCAGGGAAGGACTAGGATGCTTACTGCCATGATTAAGCCCTCAGGAACTTACAGATGAGCATGATGCCAGTAGGGAAGTCTTGACCAGAACTGTGAGCCAACATGATTGACAGACTCAAAAACATGGAGCCATCCCCTGAGGTGGATGAACTCTGTGCATCAAGTACTTAAGGCCTTTCAAATCTCACTGACAATATTGGGACTTCAGTCTTTCCATAAAATCTGTAAAATTAATGATGGCCTGGAAATCTTAAACCTAGTTAAGAAACTCAGAATAACTTATGGCTTTCTTGAAAATCTGGAAGAATTTTTTTTTTGCTTTTCTTAATAAAGAATGGTTAAAAATATGCATCCAAAGAAACATTTAGTAAGTTCCTACTATGCACCGTTTCTATGTATTCTTTTTTATGTGGCATGAGTATAGTATATTCTCATAGATATTTTTGTTATTTAGTTAGAAGACTTTCTCAAGTGTGTTATTGTTTTGATATTTTTTATCAAGCCATATTGAGAGGTTTAATGATCTTAAAATTGAGGAAAGGACCTGTATCTGGTATAGCAATTGACCAAACACAATAATAAGTAAATAGGAAGTGAATGGATGAAAGTCTAAATAACAGGTGAAAGGGAGCCTGTGGTAGCAGTTAACAGTACCTCTGAATTGATAAGATTTTGAATGATAATTTATTAAGCAGAGACGTATAATCAATCCACAAGGTAAAAAATTCTAGAAGTGACTATAAACAGAACAATATGGATGCCCTAAGTTCAAGCCTTCCCCAAACTCCAAATCCACTACCTACAGAAATCATATACACTCATAAAGTGCTTTCAGAAAAGATATAGGTAATAGTTCCAAGAGCTGAACCCTGGGCAAAGTACAGGCCTGTTAGCATAGTATTTGAAATACTATGCTAACCAGAACATCAAACATTTTCCTTTTGTTGAGCTGAATATAGTTAGAAACTTGTTTAAGACATGCATTAGTCAGCTTTGCTTCTGCATTTTGGTGCTACTGAGGCACACAGACTAAGCAATAATTGATAACATCATTTTGTTTGGTCTGTGGAGTTAGCATCAGACTGAGAATGTTGAGCCAACCTGATCAGGCAGAAAGTATACGGTATTTTCACAATAAAAAAAAAAAGAAAGTACTGGAATTACATCATCATGGAATTGCTTTAGTGACCCAAACAAGTCATCAGTTCCTTTCTCCTAAGGTTAAGATCAGCTACCGTTCTGTGCATAACATTTTAAAAATAAAATGAGTCCTCAAAAGAGTAATGGGCTCTGAATTACATGAAAACAAAATAATGTCTGTATATTTCCCTCCAGAAAGCCAGGGTTAAATGGCTAAAAATGTCATGAAATGCATTAGTCCTTGAGATAGGTCCTATTTACTCTCTCTCTATTTTCTTTTGTTTTGTGCCCATATTAAGGGTTGAACTCAGGGTCTCACCCATGCCTAGTTTGTTTTCACTGGTGTTCTATCACTTGAGCCATGCCTCTAGCCCAACTTTTTTCTGGTTAATTGGGTGTTAGTGTTTAGTGAACTTTCTGCCCAGGATGGCTTTGAAAAAAACCCTCTAGATCTCAGCCCCCTGAGTAACTAGGACTACAGGGGTGAGATACCAGTGTGCCTTGCAAGTCATTTGTGGTATTTATAGCTTTCAATAATGTAGGAGTAGATCTATTCATATTAGATTCTGTCTATATAAAAAAATGACACTAGCATACATAAGTGGCATAGTTTTTATTCCACATAAAAAAGGAGGTAAACAGTATAGAATCAATGGAGTGTAGGTCCATATATTGTCAGTAACACAGACTCCTCATCCTTCATACTACAATCTGTTGTTTGCCTTCATCTTCAAGATTTTTTCATGCACCAAGATTACCAGCAAAGTCTCAACTGCCACATCTAGGGTTTGGATGAGCAGGGGTGGAGGAAAGGGAGAAGAGAATGTATTAAAAGTGTCCTAGCGAAATGGTCATCGCTGTCAGCCACTATTCCACAAGTCTCACAAAGCCTGCTGAGATCACATTGGACTGAACATTTTATTGAACTACATTTACCCACAAGGAGTATGGATAAAGTCTTTAGGAAAATTTAAGTCCTATTAATGAGAAGTAAGCAGCACATAGAAATGGTTTGTAAGCCGGGTTGCTGGTGGCTCAAACCTTTAATCCTAGCTACTCAGGAGGCTGAGATCTGAGGATCGTGGTTCAAAACCAGCCCCGGCGGGAAAAGTCTGTAAGACTCTTATCTCCAATAAACCACCCAAAAACCGGAAGTGGCGCTGTGGCTCAAGTGGTATCATGCTTGCCTTGAGCTGAAGAGCTCAGGGACAGCACCCAGGCCCAGAGTTCAAACCCCACAACCGACAAAAAAAAAAAACAAACTGGTTTGTATTGTTATTTTTACATATGATGAAATGCTACTAAACTGCACAGTTATTCCCTGTGTGTGCTAACCACACATCTCTCTCTTCCTCTTGTATCACCAGGCCTCCGGAACCAGTTTACAGCACTGTGAACAAACTGTGTGATAAGCCTGCTTCTCCCAGGCACTATTCCCCTGTTGAGTGTGACAAAAGCTTCCTCCTCTCAGCTCCCTATCCCCACTACCACCTAGGCCTGCTCCCTGACTCTGAGATGACCAGGTACTGCATGCGCTTCTTCACTTCACCTGTCCAATTCCATGTGTCACTACCAGAGTGAATGGGTAGAATCCGCCTCTGCTCACTTTTCCTGCACTCAGCATCTGCCGTGAGGTGGACAGATGTTCTGAGAAATGAAGAACATGGCCTTTTGTGCCTGTGTGATCGCAGAGCACTAAGATGTGATCACGTGGCACTTCACATGTTCTTGATGTTCACACCTGTTCATAAGGTGTTCATTCTATTGTTCCAGGACAATTAATTTTGGAGTTGATAATTGCCCTCCTACAAAGGGATGAAAAAGAACATTTATTGAACATTTTAAATAATATTTAATAAATGTTTTTATGCCTCCAGGCATAACCTAAATTCTGGATACTAATATTGCCATTTAACCTTTTAATTAAAACATTAATGTCAGCATTTAAGTGACTCCTTGAAGTATTAAGTGGCTTATCCAAAACTGCATAATTGGTTTATTTTATCTAACCACAGTGAACATGGACTTTACACTGTGGTACTGTAGTTGGTGTTTGCCTATGTTGTCTTGTTTAATTAATACCATCTTATGTAGATAGGGAGGTTGAGAGAGGTTAAGGCATTCAGAGAATCACTATGACCTTGACAGTACATGTGGATTTGACCTTCTACTATTCTGAGGTTTTCTGCAACGATTTGGTAAACAAATTGTTCAGTATAAAGGCTTGGCATAATTCTGCAAGTAAATTAAAGCTTATGTGTAATAAATAATAAACACTTTATCTCATATATTAGCCAGAATCAGAGGGAGACAGACAGACAGACAGACAGACAGACAGACAGACAGACAGACAGAGGAAAAGAACAGATACACAGAGACATAGAGAAAGAAAAACAGGAAGAGAGATAGAGAGAAATAGAGAGAGAGCAAGACAGAAATAAAAACAGAAAAGAATAAGAATAATTGGATCTAGAGTTCTAGGTGGTAGTTTCAATTTATTCTAATTGAGAGATTACAATTACATTATTTGTAAACATAGCAGCAAACTTACAGAGCTATGATTTCAGAATGTCTTTATTATATTGTTAGGGCTCAGAAAATAAAGGTTTTTTTACAACTATGTAAAGTGAAAATGGATATATCAAAAAGTTCTTCCTTAGAGTCACATCCCTATTTTTTGTATTGTCAAATAATATGCTCACAAGTCAATTACTGGCTTCTCTAGATGGGTTAAGCAATGAATTTTAAGTTATGTCGAATATTTCTACAAATTAATGAAAAATGTATTTTGACCATTTAATCAGCTAGCATATTTGCACTTACTTACAACTTAACAGTATTTCAGAATTCTAGAAATATATTAAATAAATTCTATATTATTGACAATTCATGAAAACTAGTTTTTGGCACAATGCACTTTACCATTTTGAAGCTAAAAAGCCTATGTTAACACAGCCATAGGAAGGTGGCTGCTTATTGTGTTTCTGTAGTCAGCTACAGAAGAACATTTATTGTTATCTTGTTTTATGCTGGGCATTTTCTTTAAGAACATCTTTTGTGTGTATAATGGTAGTAGGTCATGAATCAAGCTCTCTCAGCTAGGTGGCTTAGCTGGCCCTCTACCACTGGAGCTGTACACCTCCAGTCCAGCTTTTAGAGATGGAGTCTCAGAGTTTTCTTCTTGGACTAATTTCAAACTGCGATAATCAAATCTCAACCTCCTAAGTAGCTAGGGTTACAGACATGAGCCACTTGCACCCTAAATGTTAAAGTACTTCCTATTTTTTTCCCGATAAATGTGAGCGTGATCTTAGTTTTTAAAAATGAGAGATATTTGAGAAGTGGATCGACTTATGCAGATTATCTACTACTAAGTGGCAGAGCTGGGATTCAAACCCAGGTGACAAATGATCTGGCACATCGGCTCTTGCACTGGCACTGGCATGACTGTAGGGACATCTTTGCTCCATGTAGAACTTCTCTACTCATTTCTCCTTTTCTCCCCTATCTCTCTCTTTATCCTATTACTCATGTCCATTTCTATAGCTAGGTGTTAGAGAACTTTTAAACCCATGTTCTTTTATGGATAACTTTTGGTTTATCTCCAACCCCACTAGGAATTGTGATACATCGCTCCTTAAAAATTTCCCAGTAAGCAGCTGGGCAAATCTACCACAGGAAGACCCCCTCCCCCCCAGCTTTGGTCCCTGCTAGTCTCCTGTCAGTAATCTATATTATGAAGACTACATGGTTTCCTATTCTATTTCTCAAGTTTAAAAATTATACTGTGATATTGAATATGTTTGTTTAAAATTACACTTCCACAGTAATACTGATATTGCCCCAAGTGTCAACCACATCCACCCTTTTCCCAGATTTGATAAATCCATTCTCTGTTTTTTATGACTCCTTTCCCCTACGTCTTTCCTTTTTCTATTACCTTCCCCTTTTAGAAAAGAGTCACAAATATATACTTTAGAAGCCTTGTCATTAATACACTGAAACCAAAAAATAAATCTTGATTTTGGTTGAAGAAGTGGTTAAAGTAGTGGAACACCTACCTAGCAAGCATGAAGTCCTAGGCTCAATCTGCAGCACAAATGAATGAATGATATATATATCTATATACATATATAGATATATATATTATATGATGTATATCTCATGTATAATATATATCTTTATTTCATCCACTTAGCTCTTTCTCCATACTTCTCTAACTCATTAAATGACACCTAAATCTTCCTTTAAGTACCTCAAAACAAAATCTTGAGAGTTGCCCTTAATTACCTTATGCTCTTTGACATCCATCATTCAGTTCATTTCCAAAGCCTGTTCATTCTACCTCCAAAATATGTCTCAAATCTGTTCACTTCCCTCTACTTCTACTTCTACCCCCTTAAGCCAAGCCTTGTCATCTCCCACCTCCCAGAGACTCCTAATTGGCCCACTGTTGGCCTCCTGGCTGAATCCAGACAAAGCAATTTGTTAAAAATATATATACAGATCAAATCTCACACTGCTTTTGCGTTAGGATGAAATGCAAGGTCATTAACATAGCATCCAGGCTCTGCATGATCTAGCACCTGCCTGCCTCATGAACATTTCATTTCATTCTTCTTTTTGCTGACTACAGTAATCACATTGGTCTTTTAGAAAGAAAAAAAAAAAAGATTCACTAAGTCTCTTCTTGTTCCAAACGCTTTACATATGCTTTTCCTTTAAGAAAAAGAAAAGCAATTCTTCTATTTTGCCTAATTAACTGCTGGTCATCTTAGGTCCAAGTTTAAACTGTACTTCCTCAGAGTAACTTCCTGAAAGAGAAAAATCAAGCCCTTATTCCTATTCAGAGTCTATCTCTTTCTCTCTCTCTCTTCCCCATTAAAGCTAAGCAATTTATAATTGTACATTTATGTGATTTTTTTTCAAATGAAATGCCTGTATTACGTTTTTATTTGTCTATTTTCGTGCACTGTTATATTTCTAACAACAAAATGCCTAGCACTCTGGGAGCTCAAAATTATTGTGTGAATAAGTAACCATGAAAATGAGAGCTGCAGGCCAGGAAACTGATACCTGATTCAAAACAGATCCTAGCTCAAGCTCTGTCTTTCCCAGTTCTTAGCAGGTACATCAAACTGCTCTATGAATGAAGTGAATAAATATACACATGGAAACAAATAATAACAACTACTCACATTACATTATGCTCTAAATTATTTTGATGGTTAATGTCCACATTATCGATTCATTAGGCAACTGGCAAATCTCCCTGAAATCTGAGCTATTTGTCTCACAGAGCATTTTCTTCTTCTCCAGTGAGAAATAATTTCTCCCCCCCCCAAAAAAAATGATATTTCTGGGGTGGTAGGGAGAGAGGAGAGGAGGGACAGTACTGGGACTTAACCTCAGCCTTTCTTAGATTTTTCTACTCAAAGGCTGATACTCTACCATTTGAGCTATTCTACTTCTGGCTTTTTGCTGGTTAATTGGAGATAAGGGTCTCTTAGATTTATCTACACAGGCTGGCTTCAAATTATGATCTTCAGATCTCAGTAGCCTGAGTAGTTATGATTACATACGTGAGCCAACAACACCTGGCTGAAGCAGATGTTTCTTGACATAAAACCAGTAATTCCTGGGAAACACTTCACTTACCTTTTCTATTGCATCCAGTAGATAAGAATTTAGAAATATAATCCTTTATATAACTTTAATAATGCTGAGGAACAAAATCCACTGTCATTATGGGTTTGTGACTTACTTCTAATCATGGTAAAATGAAAACATTTTGGAGTTTTAAAAAAGATACTATATGAATACATCTATTGCTTCATAAAATCAAGTATTATTAAGTGTCAACAAGTACAAAGTACCATACTACAACTTTTTATAATGATGCAAGCTGAAAAGGCCAACCAAAAATGTTGACAAACGGCCTGAACTTGAAGCTGTAGTATGTGATGATGCATTTTTTGGAGTAGTTGAGAAGTTCCCAGCGTGCATTTCAGAAGTGCATGCACATGGATACAATAGTTGCTGCTGCAGATTACCATATAACCTACCATGGGAAAATCCATATGTGATTTTTTATTTTCTCCTATTTATACAAGTTTAGTTCTTGATCAACACACAGAAACATAAAAGCAAACCAGCATAAGCCACAAGAGTCAGCCTTTCTGTATTCCCTGAATTTCATTGAGAATACTCAAGACTTCAGGGTTTAAATTTATTTCTTTAAAAGACAAATTCATTGTGTACACAATTTACTTCCATAGGTCATGTGAAGGAGAATAGAGAAGCTTCAAGTTTTCTTTAGGAAAGGCCTTGAAGTTACTTGGCATGCTGCCAAATCACTGGCTGCATGATTATGTTTAGCATAATTGACTCTTAGACCATGTACCAAAAAAGAATGGGAAGAGCCTAGAATTAAAGTAAAATCTGAAGCTCTATGGAAAGCAAATGACATTGCTATTGCATTCATGTATCTCTAGTATCTCATTTTATGAAAAAGGGTAGTTTT